GGGACTGTTGGGAAGGCATAATTGGTTTTGAAATATGAAGACACGAGATTTGGAGGGTCAGAGGTGGAATTACATGGTTTGGCTGTGTCCCCACCCAAATCTCACCTTGAATTGTAATAATCCCCACATGTCAAGGACGGGCCAGGTGGAGATAACTAAATAGTGGGAGCAGTTTCCCCTATACTGTTCTCCTAGTAGTAAATAAGTCTCATGATATCTGATTGTTTTATAAATGGGACTTCCCCTGCACAAGCTCTCTTGCCTGCTGCCATGTAAGATGTGCCTTTGCTTCTCATTCGCCTCCACCATGATTGTGAGGCTTCCCCCAGCATGTGGAACTATAAGTTAATTAAACCTCTTTCTTTTATAAATGACCCAGTCTTCGGTATGTTTTTATTAGCAGCATGAGAACAGACTAATGCAGTGGCAAAGCTGGAACTGGAATACCTTCTGGCTTTTGCTGCTGTAATCTTTCCGCTACACTGCACCTCTGCTGGTCTCTCAACATTGCATTTGCTTGTAAATATTTAAACAGCCCTGGAAAGATCTACAGAACATCAGAGAAACCACACTTTAAACAATCCATTCTTATCCCCAAAGGTACATTAGAGCTAAAATCATAAAATTAATAGCTACTTCCTTACCCAGGATCAATATATTTCCTAGCTGAAATGAGTGATTGTTTTTGGACAGAACATAAGGGGCTCCAGAGGAGTGAGTGCAGCTAGAAAAGGTGTTGATGACAGAAAAGCAAAGCTAGGGAAGGTTAGAGAGCCTGCAATGCAACATGAGGGGCAGAGGCCAGCTTCAGCCAGGCTAATCCTTAAAACATGTGTGATGGCATGCCCCAGAAAGGGTTCGTGGAAATGGGAAATTAGTACTTAAGACTAAGAACTCTGAGTCTTAAAACTTTCAGGGAACCCAGTTTCCTACTCAAGCACTTCTACTGTGCTCTGACACGGGATCAACAGCTTTATCAGATAATGTTTAATTGATTAACCTTATGTGATTGTCCCTGGACCAAAATAGGAATCTCCCACAAGGACCTGACATTCTAAAGAAAAACTTGGAATCAGAAGAGAAGAGGGGATGCTCAAGCAACATGGCCTTAGTTTAGGAATAAAGCCACATAATGTATATAGGCTATATAGATCCCTAAAACAAGTCAGCTTTATTCAAGTTATTTTATCATAAAATGAGAAAATCTTAAATTGCCATAATACAATGAATCTAAGCTAAAATGTCAAATTCTCTATGACTGACTTGCATCTTCAGACTATGTCAAGAGCGAGTGTTCACTAAATGCATTTTTAGAAGCTTTTTTAATGTGGAAGTGAAATACCATATACACTATTTCCATGGTAACTATTTTCTTACTGAATGGAAATAGCATAATCAACATTTAAGAACTTCTATTTCCTGAAATGTTTGTCTTATATGAATGTCAGTTGAATTCATAAGTTACAAGTAGTCTCCTTTTAATTAAAATTTTTAAAAATTTAGTGTCTATGTATTGATATATTTTTTTGCTCTGTTTATAAAATGTATTCCTGGACTACTTGAACATTTTGACATAATAACTTAGCATACCTGTTTTCCTCATAGTGTTGGGAATTTGGAGCTTTCAAACAGATAACTCAGTCACTATGTATCTTAGATGTGTTTGGTTAACACTACAAATAAATGCTTTCTCTGTATTAAAAGATAAGTTTCAGAAAAAGGTAACATCACATCTTTCCTACAGATACAAAAATGAGTATGTGTTAAACATTTTTATTTTCTTCTGCCTGGGTGTGGTGGCTTACATCTATAATCCCAACAGTTTGGGAGGCTGAGGCAGGTAGATTGAGCCCAGGAGTTCCAGACCACGCCTGGCCAACATGGTGAAACTTTGTCTCTACAAAAAAATACAGCAATTAGCCAGGCATGGTTGTGCGAGCCTATAGTCCCAGGAACTCGGGAGACTGAGGCAGGAGAATTGCTTGAACCTGGGAAGCGGAGGTTGCAGTGAACTGAGATTGCACCACTGCACTCCAACCTGGGTGACAGAGTAAGACCCTGTCTCAAAAACAATTTTTTTTCTTCAGTATTAGAGAACCAGATGTCAAAGTCTTGCTCCTTGACCAAACCTTAGTCAGGCTTCTCTGAGCCTCTTTTCCACTAGGTCTCAACTTTGATTTCCCACCCTTGCCAGATCTTTATAACCCAATTTTAGTGAAATTAGAATTCTTCTAAGTCAGTTTCAAGAGAATCCCAAGATATACTGGATAATCCTCGATCTCTGATCACCCTGGCCTGCCTTTAATAACATTCCTGTCAAGTTGGTTTTGCAAAAATCTTCCCGACCCTTGATGTCTCCTCTTAGCACATTTTCCATCCATTGGCCCCTCACGCTGTTCATTGACTATAAATCTCTGGCTGTCTTTACTGTATTCAGAGTTGAGCCCAATCCCTCTCCCCTATTGAGATAGTCTCCACATCTTTTGAAACAGTCCTAAATGAAGTCTTCTTTACTGTTTAACAAGTGTCAGAATAATGTTTTCTTTAGCACAGGCAGATGTTATAAACAGTTCAAATGAAAAGTTAAAAAAAAAACTTATATATAAAAAGGAATTGAATTTTAATGGGAACAAAACTTTTTGTTCTGTTTTCTGTTTGCTTGTTTGTTTTACAAGGAACAGGGAAGTGTGCTGGAAACAATGGAGTCTGCATGTCTATCAGTTATCTACAGTTTATAAACCCATGCCAAATAGCTCAAAGGCAACAAACTGTTGTAGGAAAATACAAGTTCTTGTCACATAACTGGGATAATGTAGGCAGGCGGACACATTAGGGTGAGTAGAGTGGGGTTTATTGGGTGAAAAGGAAAAAAGGGGAAATAGACTCTCAGCAAAGTCAGAGTCCTGCTAACAGATTTGCCGCCCCACAGATTGAATCCCCAGTTACCACTAGAAACAAGAGAGGCCAGGCTCCTTCCCACTGCAAAGGGCATAAACTTCTCAAGGCTCTACCCCATCCTCCAAGTGCATAGGCCAGTTGAAGATTCTCCAGGGACCTTTCCCCTTATCTGCCTCCTGCATCTATCAAAACTAGAGTTGGCTGTAGCACAGCCTGGAAAGGTGTGCTATGGATAATACATTGCTTTCCACTGATGTATAATTTTTGTTTTGGAGTAGAGCACAGTAACCATATATAGCATGAGTCACATTATAAATTCTTTAAATATCAGCTTTGCAACCACACTATCCCAGAACTCAAAGTATGACTTCTCATAATTTGGACTTAGAAACAATTAATCATGACAAAGTAGGAAAAAAGTTGATATTTAACTCTCACAGGTCCTCATTGCAGGGTAATCTACACACCTTTGAGAAGACATGTCTAGTCATGGGCTGTCCTTACTCGCAAGATTGATTTAATGAAGGCTGTAAAATTTCTCCCAATAAGGCCAAAAAAGATATAAAATATATTAGAATTTTTATTTTCAAAGAAAATACATTTTTTTCAATTTTAAGAAAAATATATTGGAAACAAAATTGGAATCTAGTTAAATAAAAAGAAAGCTCTAGGGAGATTAAGGAGTTCTTAACGTTACTTCATTGAAATTCTTATATAACTTTTATTGCATTTATTTCACACTGTCTTTTATATACTTTTTTGCACATATTTTTATCCTATTCTATTCAAGACATGGTCCCTCTACAGAACCTAGTACTTTTCCCATAATACATGTAGGCCAAATGATTGAAGATTGAATGAAATTCACTGAAGGGTTCTACCATGGTTTGAATGTTTGTCCTCTTCAAAACTCATGCTTACATTTAATTGCCATTGTAACAGTATTAAGAGTTGGGACCTTTGAGAAGTGATTAGCCCATGTAGGCTTAGCTCTTGTGGGTGGGATTAACGCAGGTATAAATGGGGGAGTTCAGCTCTCTCTCTTGCTCTCTCTCTGCCTCTCTCTTTCTCTTTTTACCCTTCTGCCATGTGATGTCTTCAACCATATTAGACGCAGAATGAAAGCCCTTGCCAGCTACCAGCACGTTGATATTGTGCTTCCCAGTCTTCAGAACCGTGAGTCAATAGATTTCTGTTCATTATAAATGACTCTGTCTCACGTGTTCTGTTATAGCAGCACAATACAGACTAAGGCAGCTTTTCTATGGTATAAATGAAGTACCATTTCCCAGATATGCTGCTTTTTATTGCCCTAATTTAATTTAAAAAGTCACTTTAGATGGCATTACTATCATTTATTGAGCACTGATTATGTGCCAGGCCTTGTTCCAAGTGTTTAACATTCATTATCTCATTTAATCTCTAACAGCTGTATGGGCTTATTTCTCTCATTTTATCAAGATGTGACGGGAGTAAGTTTCACTATTATGCAGGGCTACCCAAATATACACATGCATTTTGTCTTCTGTACCATCATCATCTTCCTGGGATTAAAGCCTATCCCCACCATCCCCACCTGTTCCTAACCCATACATGTTGTGCCTTTACAAAGAAGGGTATCCACATGGGGCAGTTTGAATGGAGCTCCACAAAGTGTCGGGATGTACCTTCTGCTGGATGATCCCAGGTAATTTCAGGCAGCTTGGAAGGAGAGCCTCACTCCTAATAAGGAACAGGACACCTGACCCCTCAGTTCAAACATCATACAGTGGCCATTCCAATTGCATGTGGCCAGCAGGCAATGACTTGTCTTCATGGGGCTGGCAGGGGATGGTCAACAAGGTTCTCCTCCTTTTGGCCCACTGACCTCCTCCAAGGAGAGACCAGCCACCCCATTCTAGCACATTCTCCACATGGTCAACAAGATTCTCCTCCTTTTGGTCCACTGACCTCCTCCAAAGACAGACTACACATCCCATTCTAGTACAACCAACATTCTTCTCATCTCCCTGGGGCAGGGCATAATGAGTCACCATCTCTTATTTTTCTAATAAATTATTATGGTACAAACTTCTTTCTTGATTCCTAAGAGTTTTTGGGTTTTTCGTTTTATTTTGTTTTTTGTTTGTTTGTTTGTTTTGACTATGCTCTTGTAAATGAAACATCTTAATTTCTGGAACTAGTGGTCTGCAAGGCCTGTTTAGGATTCAAAAACTATACACCTTTTCTAGTCTGTACATTTGTAAGAAATGAATTCAAATTCTCGTGAGAACATGTAGAGGTCTTTGAGTTGCAGGGTGGCAATGATTTTCTATAAAGGGCCAGGTAGTAATGTGTTGGAATTCGTAGGCCATACACAGCCTTTGTCACATAGTTGTGTTTTTTGTTTTTAAACAACTCATGTTAAAGGGAGAGACGAGTTCAAGGCATTTGTTTGTTTACCTGTCTGAGTCCAAATCAATTAAGAATTTTATGCCTACTGAAAAGTAGGTATCTGGACTGGTAAGTTTTCTATTTCTTAATTTATGTTTGATCCATGGCTGAAATCATGACATTTAAGCTATAATAAGCTCTTTCTCAACCACATGAATGTTTAGACCTGTAATTCAAAAAAGCCTTTAAATATCATTGTGTGAGTATATATTTTCCTACCTCCAAGTGATGTTAAATTAGATTATAAAATATCTTAAATTAAAAGAGCTCTATTCTGATTGACTTACAGAGATAAGTGTTTTATAACTGAATATTCCTAAAATTCCCAGAAATGTTGGAAATTAAAGTTCCAATCATTTCCGTGTGCCAAAAAGGGGACATTCTTAATGAAACTAACCCAAATGTTTTAGGAATTCAAGTTCACATAATTTGGATAAATATTTTACAAATGAGACTAATTTAATGTTGTTGGTTTAATAAAAATAGTTATGTCTTCTCTGAGTTAAATGACATATTTATTCTACTTGGATATGTTCTTCCTAAACTTATACAGGTGTAATGATTAAATAAACTAACATTACTTCTACTAAATGTTTAAGGCTATGAAAGATGCCAATCTGTGTTTAACCAAATTAAATATTTATTCTAACAAACTTTATTTCAATAGTAGTTATATTTTGTAATATGTCGGCTTGATGATAGTTTCCAAGATCTTTTGGTAATTTAAAATTTTGGACTGATACAAAATGAGTACATTAATGGACATTCATTAGATACTTAGGTGATCTCTAAGTAAGATGAAAAACTGAAACATTAATTATCAAGTGTAATTTTAAGTTTATACACTTTTTGTTATTTATTTTTATAGCATATAGAGAAGCTCTGTATTTGGAGTTTGTTAATGAATATGTTCATTTTTGCCACTTTGAAAACTTGTATTATAAAAAACATGTATAGATATAGAATGATATAGAAAGCTCAAGAAAAGTGAATTTTATTTATCCTGATCACTGCTAGCTATGGTTTGATGAGTTATTTATAGGATTTTCTAAAAAAAGCTTTAGTATCCAATATTATACTGATGCAAAACTGGAATTCAGTTTTCTCCCTGTTAAAAGACTGAGATTATCTTGGATTATTGGTTAGGTCTTGATAGGCAGTTATAAAAGTTTATTCTTTACTTTCTGTGCAATCTGCCTGGATGACAAGGATTTTATGTCTTACAGAATAACTTCCATGGTTTATGTTTACTGTTTTTCCTTGATTATTTATGAAAACAAAGATTTCTCATATAGACAAAAGCTCAGATTCTTTCCAATAATGATACCTCCTGTATCAGTGATAGATCTTCAGATAAACAGAATTAAAAGGATATATAGAGATATCTAGAAAGAGGTTTATTATAGGGACTGACTCACATAATTATAGAGGTTGAGAACTCCACAATATGCTGTCTGCAAGCTGGAGGCCCAGGAAAGCCCAGTTACCACTTAACAATTCCAGCCTTAGCTCCAAGACTCAAGAACCAGGGAAGCCAATGGTGTAAGTCCCAGTCCCAGTTTAAGTCCAAAGGCCAGAGAACCAGAAGCTCCAGTATCCTAGGGCAGGAGAAGATGAATGTTCCAGCTCAAGCAGACAGCAGATTTATCCTTCGTCTACCTTTTCATTCTGTTCAAACCCTCAACAAATTGTGTGGTGCCCATCTACATCGGTGAGGGCGATCTTTGCTTCATCTACCAATTCAAATACTGATCTCTCCCAGAAATACCCTTAAAAACACACCTAGACATAATGTTTTCCCAGCTATCTATGAATCTCTTAGCTAGTCCAGCTGACACATACAATTAACCATTAGAGTTCTTATGTTTACTTTTATAATTTTTATTGTCACTTTGGTTTAATAGGTAGTTAAGGTTTAATAGGCAGGTATCCCATGATCATACATAGCTAACGATCCCATGATCTCATCTTAATGAAGCATTCAAATCTTCTGAAAATTTTTTATATGTTTCCTTTCCAAAATCACAACCTAAATCATATCTCTTGCATCTTAAAACTATCTTTGAGATTCCCCAGATAAATCACAAAGGATTTGTTTGCTCGTCATGTGAAAAGAGAGGTACTAGAAATAATTAGATTTATTTGAATATTACTATTAATGAGTTGCATGGGAAGAGATGTTAAATGTGAAGAGATGCTCAGCCTTCCCTAGGTTAAATTTGTATGAGTAAATGTTTATTAATATAAGGATTTCAGTAATTATATGCTGTTTGGGAAGTTCTTAAAGAATTGCCAGTGCCCTCACCATTGATGATACGTTTCTGTTTATTCAAATCTTGGCACTGCTTTGCCTATTATTAGACAACAACAGTCTAGTGTTATCAATCATAATTTCAGTTATTTTTTAACATGTGACTTGTCACAACTTTACTTCTTTAATTTGAATCTAGCATCTTCAAAGCCCATGGTTTTCAATTAGAGATTTTTATATTACTTACCTGTAGTATTTTACTAACATATAAAGATATTTAAGACCTACTCAGATTTAGTGAATCTCTTTACTTGATATATATTCTTGATGTATTCTTACTATAGTCTTTGCATATTCATGGCCTATTATGTCAGGATTATTATATATCTCAATATTTTTTTCTCTAAAATGATTATGATCATCTGTTTTTATTAATGAGGTATACTATTCTTTAAAATAGGTCTATTATGTTTATGAATATTTTATCTATCTTATTTTAAATTGTAATTATTCTCTTATTTTGCATGCCACAGAAACAATCAAAAATATTTTTTGCACTTGCATTATTCTTGTAATGAACTCTCATCAGATCTTTCACTTTTGGAACTTACAAGTGTGAAGCTAACCACAGCAGTTTTAAGTCCCTTGTCATCTACAGGTGGTTTTCTGTTTCACTCTGATGCTTCCTTGAAAGTGCAACCAGCTAGAGGCCAGAAAGAGACTTTTATGTGTCCTGGTCCAAGTCAGCTGTGGTTTGATAATGTTGCTTCATCTTCAACAAAGAAGAATCATCTCAGAGCCTGTGAAAAGGACTATACCATGTACTCCAAAGCACAGACTTCTGGCATCACTTACGCAACTTTGAGACCATATCCATGGAATGAATCAGGATTTCCAGAACATAGTTCAGAAACAGATGGGCTCATGAGACCGCTAACCCAAGATCAAGTGAAACAAGAGTTAGTTACATAGGACTGAATGACCTGATCAGAGATAGCTGTGGGGTTTTTCCTGGAATATTGTTGCTATTTTAATGTTCTATTTTCTGGATATACAAAGAAGCTCCTTTGCTTTCCTTATAAGCTACCTCGAACTCAACAATCGAGTAGACTCAGCTTTTGTAAACTGAAATGAAACATTTGTAGATGATAATATATCTTATTCCACCTGACTAACCCCTCCAGAATTTGGAACCTCTTATTTAATACTCTTATTTTCATCTCAATGTAGTTATTTCCATAGATTAATTAAGAATCTGTCCTACTTGTTATCAGTACAAAATGAGAAACATTGTGCAACCAAGGCTTTGTCTGGAATGTCATGTTGGAAAATGATATTCTTTTAATCAAATATGAACAAACACTTTTAAGAAACAAAGGTTGATTTTATGGAGGCAATGCTTTGCAAAGCCCTTTCGGGACTGGCTTGGTATCTGGTTTATAAGTTCTCAGTCTTACAGGTAATAATGAAGGTCACTTCTTGGCAGATCCAGGAACTGTAGTTTATTTTGTGGACCTCCAGAATGGAGGATTTACAAGAACTACAGGTAAAATATAATAGCAAATTCTTGGCTTGGCTTCCTATCCTCAGGAGGCTTTTAAAAGACTAATCTGAAATTCCTTCTGAAAACATTCATCAAATAAACTTAAGAAGGCCTACACGGTAAATTATTATTCTTGCTACACCAATGTAAGTAATCAGGTCAAATCTAAGGAGACTAGCCTTAGTTTATTATCAAAAATAATGTTTCTTTGAGATTATTATCAACTAAAAATAAAATTTTAAGCTGCCCACCTACCAAACAGACTCTCTTGACCAAGAAGACTGGAAAGAAATCTGAAAAACTGAGTTCCTGCCATGATGGGAAGGGAGGTTGAACACACCTCAATATACCCCCACCTTTTGGCATGTAGGCTCAACGACTGACCAGTACTAATGTTTAAATAAAGGGCCAGGTAGTAATGTGTTGGAATTCGTAGGCCATACACAGCCTTTGTCACATAGTTGTGTTTTTTGTTTTTAAACAACTCATGTTACAGGGAGAGACGAATTCAAGGCATTTGTTTGTTTATCTGTCTGAGTCCAAATCAATTAAGAATTTTATGCCTTAATTTTATGCCAGAAAGACCGTTTCAAACCAACTAAGAGTATCATGATAAAGAACAACAGCACTGCTCATGTGTGAGTCAGAAAGTATCCTATGCTTGTATATCCTTTCCTAAATATAAACTTTTTTTTTCCTTTGAGTTAATTTTTATTTATTTCTCTTACTTGGCTTTCTTTAAATCTCTGGCTTGATCTGACCACATTGTCCAAGACAAAACAGACTCTTAGTTGCAATAAAGTACCAAATTATAAACAAGTCCTAAGGCCATGCCAGGCAGGAGTTAATGCACATCTGTAGCCGTCAGTCTTGCTAAATAGGTCATATTGTGACTGATTCTGACATACATCCTTAATTTAACTTAAACAGGTCTTTCTGCTAACTTCAAGTTTTTAGACATTTCATTTCTTTAACCAACTGCAGATTAAAGAATCTCTGAATCCATCTATGACTCGTATGTCCCCACTTCAAGATATACTTTTTCAGGCCAAACCAATGTATGCCCTCCATGTGTTTTATGGCTTTGTCTGCAATTCTTGCCTTCCTGAAATGTATAAAACCAAATTGTAATCTGACCACCTCAGGTACCCAGTCTCAGGAATCTTGAGACTGTATTTCCTTGGACTGTGGTTGTTCATATTGGTCCAGGATAAATTTCTTTAAACTGCTTGTTTTTTCCATTAACATCTTTGAGGGTATGACTTTAGAGAGATGAGAGAAATTTTGTGTTTTGGAAAACTACGCATTGTCTATAGCATACCATTCCATGTTATCAAATTCTAGACTTGTTCACGGTCTTTGAAGCATGTTGCACATATTTGCACAATTGTATATTGTAGGTAACTGATGGACATGCATACTGGCTTGTCTAATGGCTACTTAATTGACTTCCTCCCACTCTGGAAAAATCAGTTTTGTTATCTGCAAATTATACTGGAGCCTGTTACTTGCTCAAAATGTCAATCCACACCAACTTTTTAATTCTTTTAGTTTCCTTCACTATCTGGCTATAACCCTTTCCACTAACTTTTCCAATTTTTTTCTCTCCTGCCTGACTCAGCACCACTAAGAACTAAAACTCAACTGCCCAGATGATTATGAGGACTCTGGTTTGCCTTGCAATTGGCCATTCCTCCATTCTCCACACCCTGCCCCCACTTCCCACTCTCCATCCCCTGTCTAAAGAAAATGGCTTGCTATTAACCTTGATTGACTCACCATCACAGCAGATCATGCAGGGGCCAGATTTCTCTTTGGATAAGTCTCTGTCTGGGCCACTAGGGAATTCCTTTGACGGACTTGAGTCATGCATGTCCTTAAATGAGAGGAAACCAAGACTGTAGATAACTTCACCAACAGCAATGACATTCAAGATATTCAGCAGGTAGTACCACATAACCAGAAGACTTTCCTCTACCACATTGGAAATCCACTTGGAATCCAATGGATTGGTTACCCTCCAGTTTACCTTTCACAATATATATATATTTTTATTTTAGGCAGGTCTCCTTTAAAGGGCCTGATCTCCAGGAACCTAAAACAACTGACCTTTGATACCACCTTTCAACAGGTGGTTCAACTAATTTTACAGAACGAATGCCAATGAGAATCTTGGAGACACAAGTTCTTAGATACTGCTTTGTTCCATATAGGAAGTGTATGATCATTTATGAGTTCTTTGTTGACGAAGGATATTTATCCTTTTGAAAAAGGGGGAAGACTGACAATGTTGAAATTTTTCTGAGCCATGTGTTCCACAAAGCAGGGATGATTGGGAAGATTGAAAAATCTCCCCCACCCCTTTGTATATTGAGAAACCACCAACCTGCAAAGGATCTTTTTGCCGTCCTGCGTTTGGAGATAAGTTCTGCCTCCACCTTTCCTCGGTGAGTTAGCCAAGACTCATCTCCATTCTTCATGATTCTGATAAGACTTGCTGATGACTCTTTTCTGCCTCTGTAAAGCTCAAGGCTCCCCTTCCTTTTCTTTGACAAGTTCCTCATTGAGGAATGTTCTCCCTGTTGCAACAGCCTGAATAAAATAATCACCTAATTGTCATGTGCATTTTATCTTTCACACTGAATACAGAAAGACCATTTCAAACCAAATAAGAGTATCATGATAGAGAACAACAGCACTGCTCATGTGTGAGTCAGAAAGTATCCTATACTTATATATCCTTTCCTAAATATAAACTTTTGTTTTCCATTGAGTTAATTTTTATTTATTTCTCTTACTTGGCTTTCTTTAAATCTCTGGCTTGATCTGACCACATTGTCCAACTCTGTAAAAGGCTTTTCTGTACAGTTTCCCTTTTATTATTTTCTGGGAAACTTCTCCCCTAAGGTTCTTCATCCTCCAGTTCCAGTTTATACTGGTTGCCCTTTTTGTCTGCTACAAAGTGGTAATTATAGGAATTTCCTCTTTTTTAAATTGGGATCTCATTTTACTTTTTCTTCTGTGACTCACTGATTTTCAAGGAGCATATCCTACAGAATGTCCCTGAGAAAAGACATGTAGAAGACATTTTTTTAGACCATCTGGTAAGCTCTGTATTTTGCTCTCATACTTGATTGATAGTTTGCCTGGGTATAAAAATCCAGGTTCATGATCGTTTTCTTTCACAATTTAGAAGGCATTGCTTCATCGTTGTCTAGTCCCAAGTGTCACTATTGAAAAATGTCCCTTTGATTCCTGATCCTTTGTATGTGAATACTATTATTACTGTTATCATCATCATCATCTCTGGAAGCTTTCAGAATCTTCTCTTTTTCCTAATTGTATTGATATTTTATGCAAATGTGCCTTGGTATGGCTTTTATTAGTAGTAGTATTGCTTTCGTGAGTATTTGGAAATTTTGTTCAGTGTTTATATTCATATCTTTCAGTTTAGAAAAGTTTTCTTGCATTATTTCTTCTATTTTCTCTGAACTCCTCATCTGTTATATACATTTATATAACAGAAATGTTTATATAACATTTATATAACATTTCTGTTATATAAATGTTAGAACCTCAGAGTAATCTTATTTTCCTATATGTGTTCCTATTGTCTAATTCTTTATCTTTTTGTTCTATTTATCTCAATTTAACAAGAGCTATAAATAGCTCTTGTTAAAGAGATATCTGACCTCAACTCTATCCTCCTATCTTTCCATTATATTTATTTCTGCCATATTTCCAATATCCAAGGGCTGTTTATTGTTCTTTATATGTCCCCTCTTTATATAGCTGGAATGTATTTTTTTACTACTAGAATCAAAATATTTTCTTATATCTCTGAAGATACTAATGATAGTTTCATTTTAAGCTTTTCTCTGCTTTCCACATCATCTCTTCTGTCATCTGCTGGTTCATTTGATGAGAGGCTTTTCTCAAATACCAGTGATTCTTGGTAACTGATCCAAATTTAAAAGTGTGACAGCAAACCTAGGACTAGTAAGCCTGTTGTCCAGGAAGAGCTTATTGACTGTAAGATCCCACTCTGAAGTAGTTGAGAAGGTCTGGCTATTTTGTAGGGAACCCCAGAGGAGTAAACCTGGTTATCATCCTTCTCAGATGCAAGCAGAAAAAAAGGCAATTGTTTTCTTACCCTGTGGCCTATTGCCCCTTCCCTCAGGTTTGTCTGATGTTCCTAGGGCTGGTTACTCCATGTTTCAGTGTCTTCAAAAAGTAAAACTTGAATATTTTACTGTACTGAGGGAGGGGAGTCTCATTACTGTATGACATAGGGAAGTAGGTCTGAGTGTCTCAAGCTTATCCTTTTAAAGACATTTAACCAAACTGGTTTTCCACTTAGGTTCACACTTCTACCTTCAGAAGTACTTGGTGACTCCAATTCCTGGCTTTTCTAGTATTCAGTTAAGCCTATTGTTCCTTCTTATTTTATTTGTCTCTTACAGTTAGGTGTCAGCTTTCTCTGCTCTGTGACATCAATTCCCATGTGTTCATCTGCTTTTTGACTCCTAAAATTTGATTAATATCTCTAGCTATCAGTTGTCTACTTCCTTGTCCTTTTGTCTTTGTAGGTTCTTTTTTAAAATATTCCTTTATTGTTACTCAGTGGGGCTTTAAAAATAAAGACAAGCATCTGTATTAAATTTACCAAGTTTAATTAGTTTCTTGCTGATTGTTCAGTACTCTTTATATTTTCAAAGCTGTAATCTTTTACCTCCCACATATTTTGCAATTTTACCCTCAATTTGATATTTATCTTCTAATATTGAGGATAATGTTTTTTGAAGTATAGAACTTTTTTAATGTGGTGAGGCCTACCTACATTCTTCATGGTAAAATTTAAAAAGCCTTCTCCACATTGAAGTCAGAAAAACATTTACCTACAGTGATTTCTAGTTCACTTAAAAGTTAGTTAGTTGGTCTGTAACTTAACTAGTGCTATATTTTGAGTGAGGTATTTCAGAATAATTGCTTTTCAAACTTGGAATGTACTGCAACTTTAAATTGCCAGGTGCCATATTTTTATATTGAAAAACCACTTTCAATTTCAATAACACTACCCCTCAAATACGGAACCCTTGCTAGGACCTGTTGACTGAAGAAATGATAATGTTCTCATCTTCACTAGACCCCTGCATCCATATTCCAAAGAACAGGCCAAACTATTTCTAAATATAAAAAGTTACAATAAAGTCCTAGTTTTTCTTGTGCTCAATACTTTAATGTTTTTAACACCCAAAGTTGCCAACTAAAGGTTTCTTATGGCTTCAAAGGTCACTTTCAATTCAGTAAGAGAAGAATTCCGTCCACCAGGTCTATAACATATAAGCCATTACCCATGGAGTGGGCATTTCATTTGCCAGAAAGAAGATTTTTCCCCAATTTTTTAAAAAAGGCACGTCAAAAGAATATATAAAATGCATGATTAAATCTTTATTAGATTATATCCTCCTGAGAGCTAATAGATTCTGAAACAAACACTTAGTTAAAATAATTGCAAAAGAAACAATGAAAATATATGCCAGAGACAACTTCAAATAAGGACGTGTTGACTGAAGACGTTGTGATGCCCACATCTCCACTCTACCCCTGCCTCCATATTCCAAAGAAAATGTCAAACTATTTCCAAATATAAAAAGGATACATAAAAATAGGTCCAAATAAGGACAGTGGAGATGCTTAATTACTCACAAGTGAATGAAACAAGCCCTTCAAATCTTTTCTAGATGAAGAATAGTATAAATAACTAATAAATAAAACTAATAAATCTAAGATCAGGAGCTATCTTCAATTAGTCCCTCCTTTTTTTTTTTTTTTTTTTTTTTTTTTGAGACGTCTTGCCCAGGCTGGCCTTGAACTCCTGGGCTCAAGCCATCCTCCCACCTCAGCCTCCTGAGTAGTTGGGAGTACAGGTACATACCACTGTACCTGGCAGTCCCTCACTTTTAATGATCTCACTGGAGACTATTCAACCATTGGAGATGTGACAAGAAGCATGCTTCACATCTATTTGAAGTACCCCAAAGTGGGGCATGCACTCTGAAAATCTGATAAATAGTAAAGTAAGAAAAAGGAAACCATAGAACAGTTTCCCAGGGGAACTTGTTGGAGCTCAGAAGCCAATAACCAAAAATGCAGGGCTTTCACCTGCTGAACTGCAGAAGCCTCAAGATCTCTCTGAGCTTCCCTGCTTCCTGTCTCTCAATCCTTTCTTTCCCAAAGCACAGGATGAAGTTGTTCTCTGAACTTCCCTTATCTGCCTGAAGTCCAGACTTGCCAAAAAGAAAACAATGACCTCTGATCCCTTCCTGAGTTTTTATTAACTCATCGCAAGAAGAAAGACCAAAGTCTGTCTACACATTTGGACATATTTGTCACAAACCACTGTCTGCTCTGCAAGCCCAACAGACTTTTTCCAGGCCTTTGTACATTCTTCAAGACCATTGAATTCCCCATAAATATCATTTATTATTCCCTAAAATAATCCACATTTCCCCACCTTCCTTTTCCCTAAGAAGAAGGGTATGTCAGCATCTCTATCCCAATTCATGGTGGGATAATCACTCTGTGGTTCTCCCCGTGCATGCTAATAAATTTGTGTGCCTTTTCTCCCCCTAATCTGCCTTTTGTCAGTTGATTTTCAGCAGACATTCAGAGGGTGAAGGCAAAGTTTTCCACTGGTCCCTAGAAACGGACAGGCTTTGGTGCTCATCAGAAGTGCACGTACAGTAGAGTAAAAAGGTGATGAGAGAGGTTACCAAAAGTAAGGAGGAGACACCAAGTCTATGCTTCTGTTCTCTAAAGTCAGGAATTTACTCCTGGAACTAAAATTTAGCTATCAAGTGATGTAACTGTGAGTAGGAAGACCACAGGGATTGACATGCAAATAGGCACTCCAGGCAACCCACACTGCTTGAATTCTGCCCCTGGGAGGAATATTTGGGGTACTCATTTGCATTGCATGTTGGTTACCAAAAAGCACATTCAGTTCACAGCCATTTTAAAGCACTTCTTGTCAGATCCTGGGAACAAACTGGAGTGTCTGAACAAAGGTGATTGAGGCAGTGAGTTCTCTTCTGTAACTCATAGGAAGACAATATGCCTTCTATTGCGAACATAAATATTCTTTTTAGATGTGTATCACGCAAACGGAGCCGACCAACTCATGTGAATACCTATTATTAGAGAAAGGATCTCTGACCACATTGGCCCCTTTTCTGCCTTAATCTCTGGATTCCAATGTCTTGGAGCTTCCAACTGAACTCCTCTTCTCAGAAAGAGTAATATCTCACTCTTCTGTTTCTGCATCTGCTTTCTATTTATAAAGAGTGCACTTTGGGAAAAGAAATGTTTCTTTCTTTAATCCACAGCAATATTTATTGCTGCAGGGGAATTCCAGTCTTGTTCTTTGGCAGCCTCACAGCTCTCAAGTCAAATAGGCAAAACAAATGCATTTTCTCTCCTTCACTGAAAAAGATTGTGGCTAACAGGATGTTGTCTCTGACAAGTACAGCCATTTCAATTATTTTAAAACAAATAAACAAATAAAAAATAAACCAACCAAAGAAAAGATCGTTTTAAAGTCAGGACATTTTACTCTAGAAATTTCTTTCCTGCGGCATCTTTGTTAATCAGCGCATTCAGTTCTCCTCAACATTCTTCTTTATAGCGCCTACAATGCCTGGGCCCTGCTAGTTGTGCTTCAGAGTGCCCACCTCTGGCCTCTTTCCACTTACCAGAAAAAAAATAAATGCAAGGTCACTCCATAGAATAACATATACTAAGCACTTCTAAATCTCATAAAAGGATTAGTATTCTCCTAAGGACTGAATGCCAACAGGACTGTAGGTTGCGTGATGGCGAATGCAGATGCAATGGAATGGATGAGGTACTTTCAAATAGAATGGAACAGGAGCCACGATAACATCTCTTTCCTTTGGACTCAGGGAATGCTTTATTATGATGGTCAGATTTTGGCAGTGAATATAAATGAACTGGAAAAACCCCCAGCTGTTTCTGTCTCTTTGGTATGTATAAGACTAGTTCTTCAGGAATGTATTCTTAAGAGTAGGATAATTATTTTAGACACGCTGGTGTAATGGACTTCATCAGTCTCATTCACAAAGCTCATTTTAATGTGGATCAATTATCAACTACACTCAGAGAATCCCCTGGAGTTAAATTCCAGCCATTTTTACTAGCGACACTCAACAGGCAAAAATGGCCTTTCTCAACCTCACAATCAAGGACTATGCAAAGAAAATGCATACAAGTAGCTCAACAGATCATATAATGATTGTTTATGCACAATAAACTGCAAATAACTATCTCTTTAAGGAATGTCTTGCTGTGTACCTATTGCTTTTAATCTCACCTAACTCCTTTCAGTATATTAGTTTTGCTTCACATAGGTACAATACAGACATTTTTCAAAACATGTAAACAACAGTAAATCACATCTTACCCTGCATTTACAACCCATTGCAAATATTTAACACATATCTCATTTCTTTATTTTCAAAGCACCTTCTGTCATGTGAAAGA